TTCCTAGTCTTTTGTAAAAAAAAATGTTTTTGTATTTCTAGTACTATTAAAATACTGTAACTTACAAATCTTTTTTCCAAAAATGTATTTTGTATCTTCATTTGTTTTAACATTCTTAATCGTATTCTATGTTTTACTACTAAAAACTGATGTCAAATCCTGCCGGTTTCTAAAATGTGTAGAAAGTAAAAATTATATGAAACTCACACTATCAGATTTTGTCGACATTTACAGAATTTTGGTTAGATTTTCTTGGAAAGTGTGAGCAATATTTACGGGAAATGTCAACAACTGTTAGATTAAAAATTCAAAATATAAGGCCCTGTAAGTTAAGGTTTTTTTAATTGTAAAATTTAGACACTTTTGGACCTTTTTGAGCCATGAAAGTATTGCGATCGATATTTTTTTGATTCGTTTACTATCTTTGCTTAGTCACCGCATTTTGCCGTTTTTGACTTTTAGCATGTCCAAAAATTCAACAACAAAAACAATTGCTATTGTGCGAGAGATATGGTTAAATTAATTTTTGCACGGGTGTGACAGCATTGGTGCTATTACGTTTTGGTAAGATATAATAATTCCATTCTACCTTGTTTTCGACTTCTATAAATATTTTTTTTCTGTCTTTGTTAGTTTTAAAATTTGGCAAAAACAACAAAACTATTGAATGCAATAAATCTCATGGAGACGAGAAACATTTTGGTAGTAGTTTATTTGTTAATTAGTTTATAATAAATTTTTTACTTTTATGTGTTGCTTCAATACACTTTGACAAAGAATTTACTATGTTAACAATACTTGTGTTTTTGCATAAAAATCAACACCAGCCATGTCAAAATCAATTAAAACAGCGAGTTTTTTTCCGAATGAAAAAGAATCGGTCCCTGTGGTGCCCCTGCGGCACACACATGTCACGCATCCTCCTCATTTTAAAAACACGTTAAATTTCTCCAGGGTATAGGGGTGCACTCCCGATATGAAATTATTTCTCTTAAAAAAGCCCATTGTATGGGTGCACTATCCTTATTTTGCTTTTGGTTTTCCCTCTGCGTTCATGATTGCCTCGTGTACGAGGTAAACGACTCCGAATTCATACCGGGGCGCAATTAAGTAGCACATTATGGCAATTATTTCCCTTCTCAAAGTAAGTTTAATTGAACGTGCCTTGTGGGGCGTCTGCATCGAGTCATGTGTCGACATTTGATTTCGCATGGTAATTATTTGTGCTTTGGCAATCGATGAAGTTAGTAGTAGCATCCCGTTCTTTGTCATCTTCAAACAAGTAAATTTTGGTTCGTTTCAAGGGTAAAAAAACGAATATTATCAAAGCAAAGATCGATCAAGCGTCAACATCGAGATTCTGGATTGAATAACCAATTAGTTTTTGTTATTGTAAGCCGAGCCTCGTGGTAAAGAGTAAATCAATAAATTTTGGTTACAATGTAAATGATTTTGATTAAACTCGGCGCGCTATGCTCGCCTCGTCCTCCCACCGCCATGTTCTAATTTTATCGAAATAAAAGTCCCTCATCAAAAACAGTAAAACGAGATTATCTCAAGCCTTTCAAAGATGTAATTAAATTATGCGAGGAAATAGCTGTCTCCGATTTTACGAAGAGATAGGATTAATTATTTGTTTCGATCTTAGGAACGGCATTATTTAGACCGGAATTGTGTCGCTCCAACACTCCTTTGCATCGCAATCGTCATTTTTCAACAAGATAAGAACAACTCGAGTTGCTCGAATTCTGATTTGACAAGTGTTAAAGACTTCGAATAAAAATATTACACGATTCGAGACGTTTGACGTGGTCGCAACCCTTGTCTCATCTAATATGAATTCCGAATATTGATCCGAGGGACCCCTTGAATGTTTGATGATAATCGAATTCGGGATCCCATAATTAAGCATTCAAGAAAGACGTAATAGAAAGCTCACAACGCGGAAAGCAGATAAGGTGGATGGGAAGTTAAAAGAAGAAAGTACTTTTATAGCCCAGTCAGGAGACATCGGTTATCAATTCAAACGACTGGAAGACATAGAAAGTTCATAAACCAGACAAAGAGAAACATCAGTCAGCACACATCGCGATTTTTCCAAATAGAATTTTCCAACGCTTCAAAGGCCATCATTAACTTACTTAATTTTCTCTCGTTTCCAAAGCTTTTAATTAAGTAATTGCAATTTCGTAACTCCTAATCATCAAGCGAAGAGAATTAAATTGCCAACTTCCAAACTCTTTGACAATGAAAATGAGGTACAGACACCGATTGGTTTAAGATGCACGCTTCAGCTCTTTGCTAGTTACTTTGAGGTTTTAAACGTTGTCAGCAACATCACTATTGCAAACACAAACAAATGTTTATTGTATAACCGACAAACTCAAGCGTTTTACTCAAGTTTCCAAATTTACGTTGAATAGTCCATCCAGCAAACCATGAGGAGTTTCCGTATCGTTAGATTTTAGTCAAGAGCATAAATCCACGAATAGGGCTTTTCAAATTAGAGGGAATTTGCACCGACGAGTGGAATGAGGGATCGATAAGGTATTTGCAAACAATTTTTAGATCAAATTTGGTTTGAAGAACACAAATATGCATTCCAAAGAAAATTTAGAATTTTTAATCGAAAATATTTGCTTTCTGCGTTTTATTAATTTTTTGGTACACCACACTTACAAAATACAAAACTTTGTAAAAATGTAGAAAAACAATGACTCCGAATAGCAAAACTTTGAATATGAATTAATTGATAAAAAAATCTACAATTTTAGAAAAGTTTTGCTTGCTTTTACGCTATTTGAGAAAAATTTATTTTTCTACTTTCTGTTTACTATGTTTTCTAAGCATTTATAACATGTTTTGAAATTAAATTTGACAATGAAACCTGTTTTACAAAATTTTGTCAGCATATAAGATCAAGATAATTGACGAAGATAATTTTTGATCTTACGGTATTTTGTGTAAAATATATCAGACTGTAGCAAGTTCCTACTAGGAAGGCCATTTTGTATGCTGATTAAAAGTAAATGTCATACATACTTTTTTCCTGTTTTTCTGTTTGTGTTAAAATTTAAAAAAAGTAAACAAAAAGTTTAATAATATTGTAATACAGTTTGTTTAGAAACAGAAAAAGTAGAAAAAATCTTCTTTATCAAAGTTCCATAAACTTTCACAGGGTGATTCAAAAGTGTCGGACCATCTCTTGCGTGGCAATAAAGGACATTCAACAGAGTTAAAAGTTCCCATGACACGAAATTGTTTGAGCCTTTTTTCACGAGATATAGCTTTTTAAAAATGCTGCGTTAATTTTTTGACCGTTCAGATTATGTTTTCTTGAATTTAATTTGCGGAAACGGTAAATCTTGCACATTGAAAACCTGTTGAAAAGAAAATCCAACTTGGGTCTTATAATGTACAAAACATTTAACAAATTGGCAAATTTATCAATAAATTAAATCTAACAACATCGGAAACAAAAGAGCTAAGATGTCTACATTTGGAAAAGAGACAATTCTGTTTTTTCATAAAAAAAGACTTGAAAAATTCATTTTCATGCTTAGCTGAAAGTTCTATCACCATTCGAAAGTTGATCTGACACTTTTAAATCACCCTGTAGTTGTTGACTTCTTACGGTGTTCAAATATTACAAAGAATTTGTACTTTTACTGTTCTTAACAGAGACTTAAATTTTTTGTATAGTGTTTTTTTATATTTTATACCAATTTGGTAAATTTCATTCAATCCAGTTATGGCTTCCAAATACTTTATTTAAAACAATTACTACAAATTACATTTAAGAACGTTTTGGCGTAAAATATGCCATCATCAATGTCATCAAAATAAACTTTAATTTAATTTAATTTTTTTATAGAAATTGCTTTTTGCATTCTTACATAACACAAATCTTTTTTCTCTTAACTGTTCCTATAACCATTTAAAAGATTATTCTAAAAAAATTGAAGAATTAAAAAAAGTACCTTAATTTTAGTGTTCTTAACATTTTTTTTCAAAAAATATATCGTTTGCTAACATATTTCGACAATTTCGAAAGAGATTTTGCACATTCTGGAATAATATCTTAGTTCCTTACTTCCAAATGGTGTACATTTTTCTGACTTTTTTAGAATCTAGCAAAAAAATTTTTCGATCTCCATTAGAGTTTACATCAAAATACTCAAAATATTTGAAATAAGTTAATGTTAAGAAATATTTAGAAAACGCATGACGCACGATTCGATCAGTCAGGATTCTAGATTTTACCCTAGTTACTCCGTGTCTTCAATTAAATTTCTGGTTAACGTGGCGTGTGATTCTGAAATAAATTAAATTGTAAACACTGAATAATATAGAGACAGAAAATACGAAACTTGGAAATCCTCATATCTTCTGTCGCTCTAGTATTCAACTCAAAAATTACATCGCGGTGACTGTAATTAATTGTGATGTTATCGTCAAATAGGCATCAAACTGAAAATCCTAATTTGGGAAGCTTAACCAGCAAATTTTTAGGTCATAATTGTCAAAGGTTTTGGTTTGGTGTGTCTAAACAGTGTAAAGTCCGTTTTTTTCTTTATGTGTGTGGATCAATTAATAATTCGAAAGACGTTTTATTATGGAGAAAACTGTTTTGAGCCTAATATTTATACCCTCTATATCATCATAACAATTGCCTTTAATTTTTGACCTTAGGACCAAACTGTCAAAAGCTGTCAATTGTCAAAAACAGACGGAGTCATATCGAGTTCTTGATTTACACTCAGGGCCGCCACAAGCGGGGGTGCAGGGCGTGCGGCGCACGCGGGCGCCATATCCAGGGGGCCCCAGACGAGCAACAAATTTTAATAAAATCATAAAAAAATGAATTACTTAAACAACAAAAGATACAAAAAAATTAAAATACATAAACATAATTTAAAACAAACTACACCACAATATGCGGAGAAAGTCATTATACTGGAGGTCCGGATGTCAGGAAAAAATGTTGAAAGATTTTGGGGGCGGGTTTTCTACGTCAAAAAAAGAAAAAAAATTGTAAAGACCTATGTTCAGAAATGATTCCTATGGGAGCTAAAAAAAGCTAAAAGATCTTTTTTTGTACTCTAATTAGGAGGGCGGAGACAAGTGACAAGTACTAAAGTTTCCTATAAAACTATATCAATTTTTCAAATTATTTCAATAAATTTAATTTTTTCTAGCAGAATAGATGCAGTTAAACAATTTCAATCTGTAGACTTTTTTATACTCTGATAAAAATATTTGAAGATGATTCTTGGAATACTGCTACTACCCATAAAACTCCTTTACATGCCTTTGTTACAAAATCGTATTAGTTGTTTTCATCACAATTTCAGTTGATATTTTAAACAACATAAATGATGCGTACTTGTAAAAGTGTAAATTTTCTTCAGAATCTAATATTTCAATTTACAAAATATCATTCAAATAAAAGCTTAAAAATATATAATTTCTTTGTTCCGCTTGAACCGAATTTTTATTTCGTAGCGTTGGTCCTCTTCTCGGTTTTATCAAATTCGATTAAACGGGACTGTAGGTAGTATGAAATTAAGGAAAGTACAGTTTTTCAATGTAAAACTTATTTGATTATTTACAACTTTAGAAAACAATATTTTAAATACTTTTTAATTAATTACTTTGATTTATTGACACTTCTTGATAACCACATTTAATAAACATTCTCTTTAGTTTTTAATCTTAACAAAATTCTGTGAATATATTTTTTATAGGTACAAAAGAATACCCATACTTTAATAACAAAAAAGGGAGTGCCAAATTCAAATGTGTGCGTTGAAACCTCTTGCGGTGGCCCTGTTTACACTGCCCCCCTCCAGCAAATAAAAAAAAAATAGACTGTAGACAACCAAACCAGTCACTTTGTCCCCAATTGCAAAAAAGTGGTCTCAAAACTGCCCCTTGCGGGAGATTCCAGCTTCCAACTTTTCGGTTTTGGCACTTGGGCACGATGTGTTCTATTGTTTCGGCAAAGAGATTGCAGATTAGGGTAGCCGTCCCTCGTGGAGGGAGCGGCGATAGCACCAGGACGCCGCTGCTAGGTCTGTTCTGATTACAGAGCTCGCGATGGCGGCCGACATCAGCTGCGGCGGCGTCTGCTGGAAGTAGGGGCAAGGTAACGAGGAGATAGCTAGCTCCCGACCCGCCCGGACCCGGTCAAGTAAGACCACGTCCTGTCCTTGTTGTGGCGTTGTGACAGTGTCGTGCGTATTAGACTGTTGTAGTGCGTTGTTCCTGTGCAGCAATGGTCAGCTCGTTCGTTCGATGTATGTCTAGACGTTGTGTATACCTCTGAATGTATAGTGCAAACTTCTATGTCTTCCGTTATTATATATACTATTTTTAAACACTGCAAGGTGCAGCCGCTTCCACACGCGTGGCCAAGGCCTCAAACTCTGCCAAGAAGGGGCTGCACCGGACCCGTGCGCGATAGGCGCACCTGTGTAAGTATCGTAAGTGTACGCCGCGTAATGTTACAACGCAACTACCAGAGCACTGTCATGTACCCTAAATATGCCTATTTCCAAGCCCACCTCTGTTTTATGTCGCTGATGTATGTTACCACAGAGCTGAAAGGACGAAATGCAACTTATGGACACACAGCGTCTAAACTCAACCCCAGAAGAAACAACAAAATTTTGAAAAAAAAATTAAGTAGCACTTTTGAGTTGGTTGTATCTCTTTGAAAAAAAAATAGTATAAAGCTAGCATTCTTTGAAATTCCATCATGGCAACAATAAAAAATAAAAATTAACAGAAAGGCGGAAATTTTGACATTACATCCCGTAGTCGGAAAGTAATTTACAAAAGACTACCAAAGTTGCAAACCTATCAAAAAACAAAAAAATATATTTGCATAGCAACAATATCACAGACATAGAAAAAAATATTATTTCAATAAATGTGATTGCAAATAAAATAGTACATCTACAAATCCCGGAGGAAATATTATTATTACCTCGGGATAACGACATATTTTCCACCTCGCACTATTATATTTCTCTTCAGAATTAAAAATCTTGATTTTTCAAATTAAAAAAAAAATACACTTGGCGTTTAAACTCAACCTCAGAAGAAACAAAACAGAATTTTGCAAAAAAAGTTAGATGCTAGAAGTAGCACCTTAGATCTCATTTAGTCTATTACAGTTATTTTTTCCTCTTACATGTATCATGTATGAGTATTCTAGTCAAGCAAAAAATAAAATAACATGCTTACAATTAAATTTTGTATTTAAACGGTTTATGATTCTTGTGCTAAAAATTCAATGAGCAACTTAATTTCCGTTTTACAGCCCACTAAAGTTGAGTTCAATTCTAATAAATGATAATCACTAAAAGAGAATCTTAAACAAAAGGTCTTTGAATGTGCATAATACAATACTTTTAAGCTTGAAGTAATAGTACTATTGAAAGTTTAATCAACTCAGATTAACGTATATCAAGGCAAATGAAAATTCACGTTTTGACTAAAGAGTGAAAATAAAGATTTACACAGGATGTCTAGAAAAAAAGTTATATGTCAATGTAGAAAAAAAAGTTCTTGTAGACTTATGTCCGAAAAAGCTTCCTCGACCTTATACAGGATGAATAGACAATATGGAAGCAAAAGTTTTTTGCTTAAACCATTTATTTTTAGAAAAAACTAATTGACGAATAATAAAATAAAGTACATAAAAATGTTATGTTGCTTAAGAATAAAATTTTTCGAAAACTTTTGTTTTTTAATGGCAACCCACTATAATTTTTTTTATATAATTTTTATATAAGGTTGACAAAAACCTTACTTTCGCTACATAGTTAAAAAAAAATCGTTTTTTCAAAAACGGTGGGTCGTAAAAACCAACACAAGAGACAACTAACAAATTCCAGTATATAGTAAAAATTTGCATAAAAGTTTTCCAAAGCAAAATTTTTTGCTTTTTTTTGTTTTTTGGCTCATCCCCTCGAAGTACGACACAAATTTTTTGATAGTACTAGAACGATTCAAAAGTATCGGACCACCTCTTGAGTGGTGATAAAGGACATCCATCTGAGTTAAAAGTTCCCATGACAAAAAATTGTTTAAGGCTTTTTTTACAAGATATAACTTTTCAAAGATTAGATTTTACATTAAGTTTTTAGAAGTTCCGATTATGTAATGTTAAATTTAGTTATATATATATGATGTAAAAAACATTTTCCTACGACCATATACGAAACTAGATCATAACACAATTACATATGCTCGAAAATTGGCAATATCGTACGAGGTCGAAAACCTGTGCGATTTGTTTTCGCACTGTGTATTAGAAATCTAACGCACAATTCACACTCGAATGTTTTTTTTTTCATTTAACGTATTTTTTTTTTGTATCCATTATAAAAAATAAATCGTTATTCAACGTATTTTTGTATCCATTATAAAAAATAAATCATTATGAAAAAAAATATATTTATGGTCGTAGGAAAAATAGTGTACAAAACTTGCAGGAAAGTGTCTAACGCACTCGTGGTATTGCCTGCACTCGGATATCGCCTCGTGCGCAACTTTCCCGCTTGTGCGTTATTTATCACTTTCCGTGCTCGTTATGTAATATACCATTAACAAACTAGAAAATTAGTTAAATCTAACAACATCGGAAACAAAAAAACTAAGATGCCTACATTATAATATAAAAATTGACAGTTTTATTTTTTTTCAAAAAACAGCTTGAAACAAAAATTTAAATTAATTTTTATGCTTAGCTGACAGGATTCTATCACCATTCGAGAGTTGGTCGACATTTTTGAATCACCCTGCATATTTAACGCCAAAAAATTACTCCGAATGTAAATTATTGTAAATTTATCTCAAACGTTTATTGAGATAATTGAAAAAAAAATGAAAAAGACCTTTTGCTCATCATTTTCAAAAAGCTCCGTTTAGAAGCATTCCCGGACCATACTCGTATGTCCATAGAAACTTTTTTTCTGATATTAACTTAAAAAATCACCCACAGAAATCTTTTGACGTATTTTCTTAACAATTTTTTGTAATCATTATAAAAAAAGCAAATTGGTTATTACTTATTAGAAATACCGTTTCCCAATTTCAGTAAATAAAAAAACTTTAGAAATATTTTTTTAAATGTACAGTTTTTACCAAAAATAGAAAATCAGAACTCAGAGAATGTGGGCATCCAACATTATTGTACAATATTTATTGGATATGAAATAAGATGGATATGAAAATAGTAAATTCTTTTGTATATTTTTAAAGACACAATCATCTGTAGAAATACAGCAACTGACCGAAGCTAAATATTCTAAGTTATCACATTTTTTATCTTTATTAAAACATAAATAATTTCGTTTTTGTTTTTGGTTATTTTTAATTCATAAAATGATTAAAGACGTATTTTTTTAGACAAAACAGAATTTTACTAAATTTTGACTTTTCACTCCGACTATTCATGACCATCCACGAATTTAAATTTGTCACTAAACTTGAAACTTGAAACGACAAGCAGACTAGTAGGGTGACAACAAACCCTACGGGAACTGCTGCAATGTTTGGTGGAATATTTCAGACATTGACATAACCACCATTGAGAACGGTAGCACAGAATCAGAAAGCAATTACTGTTTAGTCAGGAAAATCATTAATTTTTTTCATTTTTTAATAAAACAGATTTTTTGCACGATATTTATTTAGGACAGTTAATTAATTGGGATTCACCATTCCGTAAACAACGAAACGGAAATTTGTAAATAGTCAATAGAAAAGTAAATAAAATGGAAAATGTTTTTAATTTAGCAAATGGATATATGGTGAGAGCAAAAACTAGTCACAAGTAAAATAAAGTGTGAAAGGAGTTTTTTCTTCGGTTGAGTTTAGATTGATTGTAAAGTGATTTGAATGAGTGTAGCGTAGGACATGAAATGCAAACATTCTTTTTCCAATTATGCTAATTCTCTGTCTGCTTCGAATCAGTCTTGTATATGAAATTCAAAGTCGGATGTTAGCAGAATCTCATAAATCATAAAACAGTCTGAAGTTCGTTGCAACTTTGTACAAATTCTCCAATGTTCCACATTAGCCTCGGTCGCAAAAAGCGATTAGTCGTCAAAGTTCCGTCCATTATCTTAGCAGGCAGTCCTTTCGGCTATAATGACCTCTGGGTCGGTAGAGAGGCGCGTTTTTGATGATCCTTTATGGGTCGTCCTGATTTAGAAGCGACTTTGATCCAATTACGCTCCACCACTCTTTCTAATAATCCTCCCATCCCGGATCCTTCCCGATGACTAGTTCCAGTAAATCGATCGCTAGCTCCTAAGCTCGTACCTTGAGTGTCGATATTAGCGGAATTTTCAATGGACTTGCACCTGCGTTAGTTATGTTTATGTGTTTCGCAGCTGCTCGACTCCTTCTAACTTTTTCTTTGTTTTTCTGCGACCGCAGATCGAAAGCTGTTCGTGGGTATGCTCAGTAAGCAACAAACCGAAGAAGATGTCAGACAATTATTCGCGCCTTTTGGAACTATAGAAGAGTGCACGATACTTCGGGGACCCGACGGAGCTAGCAAAGGTAATCAACGTTTTTTAGTTTTTTGAGTAATTTCTACGACGGACGCTGAACACGTTTCCTATTCGGCGTGCGGAAAATTGGAATGCGTTGCTTTTCATGATTACTGTCAACTTTAATTCAGATATACGGGAATAGTTCACAAGAGATGACAACATGAACATAATTGCATTCCTTGGTGGCGCTCCGACTCGATTCGCACCAGATTACAATTCACGTTTTTATACTGAAACAAATGGCTGTCATGTTGTTCATGTTTAACTACAAAAATTCGAATTTATCACAACATTGCGAGAAATAAATTACTCAACCACTACAAGCACAAGTATATGTAGTAAATTTTTGACCAGGCTCCAGGCCTTGGCCCATATTTTTATACTTCAAAATTAAACCAAAAAAAATTATATATTTAAGTATATAAGAGTTTTGTCGAAAAAACAGATTTCTTCAGATTGGAAAGACTGTATTTAATAAACGACGCTGTTGTGTAATAGTTAGTTAAATATTTCATCCCGGCCTAGGACTTACAGAAAAGAAATTTTTTATAATTTCCAAAAATCATTTTAAAATATAATGAACTATTTTAATAGTCCAATATTTTTCCGAATCACATTTTGGCTCTTATTTTCAATTTTTATACAGCTTAAAATTACCAGAAAAGTGCACCTTATCAATAAAAAAAAATAATCAAAAAACTTGACTTCAAAAAAAGTTGGTGACTTTATTAAGCTTTTTTATTTCTAAATATGATGCACTCAATTTCAAAGCGCTCGTTATACAGATGTGACATTTGATGAGATTATTTAATAGTAGGATATTTTATTATTATTTTAAAAACTTTTGTAATTCTCTACTACTTTTGAAAGTAATAAAAAAATGTTCTTAATGTGTTCTTAAAAACACACTTTCTCTTTGAAAAATCAAAGACAAGGAGGTTTCTAAGAAAACTGTTTTAATTAGAAACTTTATGACCAGTTTTATAATTTTTGAAAAAGTTGCTTGTATTAGCTTGTATTATAAATTAAACTGTTCAAAAAATGTCTACTATTTAAAAAAAATAAATAAAAATGTTATATATTTTTTTAAATTATTTTAATTTTTTGATTTTCGAGGGTGTTCATGTTTGTATTAACTAAAACAGATGTTTTAATAATGTAAAAACAATTTTTGTCAAACCCGGTGTATTTACAAAACTTCAAAGTCTGAGAAAACGATAATAGTATATTATACGTAAAGAGAGAAAAATGCAGGATTTTTCGTGAGGACTATAAAGCACCAAAGAAATAATAGCATTTCTGTCCAGTGGTGTATAGTAGGTATACTATACACGACTTGGTTGTAATTCTTTAAAGATAGCATAGCAGATAGCAAAGATAGCTATCATTTTTTTAAATGTGATCACATCAACAATAAAAAAAATAATTATTAAAATAAAAGTTTTGTAAGAATAAAAATTTCATAAAAAAATTTTAAACCAAGTTAACAGGAAGTCGGAAAATTTGACATTACATCCCATTAGTCGGAAAATAATTTAAGTATTACCTAAGTAATCAATTTTAACTGAAAGAAAAATTTATTATTTAAATAAATGTGATTGCAAATAATATAGTATACAAATCAATACAATACAAATAATAGTATAGTATACAAATCTCAGAGAAAATGTTATTACCCCTTGAGCTCTATCCAATCTCTAGACTGCGCTTCTCGAGTGGATATCTGAGCCCTCAGGGGCATGTAATCTACTATTATATTCCTGTTCAGAGTTATAAATCTTATTTTTTCAAATTAAAAAAAAAGTACACAAGCGTTTAGAACCATAAATATGTTATATGAGACAAAAATTTTATGTTAATTAAACTTATTCAATGTGACAGAAATTAGCAAAAATCAACAACAAAACAAAATTCTAAATAAAAAATCCTTCAAACAAAATATACGTTTGCCAAAATTTTTGTTTTTTTTGTCCATTTGCTTTGTAATTTGATAAATAAAAAAAATAATTAACAAATTTCTCAGTTTCTGAAATTAACATCAGACCCGAAAGACATTTTTATGAAAAATAACTTCCACGACTCAAATTGCAAAATCGCAAAATTAAGTAGAAGACACTTTTATTAGCTATCTTTTAAGGATAAATAAAATATAAATAATATACAGGGTGTACCCAATATATCAAATTTTCAATTTCTGAAAAGTTTTAGGTAAAATTCTCAAAATTTATGTAATGGTAGAAATGGCTTAGTTGACCTTTCAAAGTTAGTAATGAATTTTTCCCAAAAATGTGAATTGCTTTGTGCCGACTCGTCGCATCGGTCAGCCAATTTCCCATTCGCTTTTGGTGGAAATAGTTCGTAGTAACTCCCCCGAAAATAAGAGTTAGTTATTACGTGAGCAAATAACAAGTCAGTTATCGTTGGAAATTACCGAGTGCGGCACTGCGAACGCGATATGAAACCTAAATAGCGTGTTACAGCTTTCGCCCTCTAGTAATTAGGATTTGAGAACAAAGTGTGAGCTGAGGGCATCGTGGGGCGACATCGCCGCCCCCGCACAAAGGCCCTCGAACAGCCCCCGGCTAAGGTCTTGTTAGCGCATTCCGAAATGCAAATTAGCCCGTTTTCGCCATTCGGAGGGGTGCTTATATTAAATTTTTGGTTTGTTTTCAGCGGCGAGTTTGCGCAACCGATCGACGGCATTATTAGACAAGATTTTTTTCAATTTGGGGGAAAATCGATAGACTCGGTATTATTTGTCGAGTGCAGCTGCAATTGAGTCTAAGTACGGTTTAATTAAAACATATAATTTTAAAAAAAAATCCTGTTTGCGTTTTTAGGCGGGGATTGGCTTTGGTTCCGCTTTTCGTCGAATAAAATTTAATTAGAGTTTCATTAATTACTTTACTAAATCCTGTTAGAGCGCTGATTCGTAATTGGCCACGGATTTTCATTAGATAAATTTTTTTCAGATCGAAATTCTATCAAGAAATAGAAATATACCCCTATTTTGTTCTTTATTAAAATTCCATTAATTTGAATTTAGGGTCAGCTTTCCAAGATTTTTATTAGCAAAACCGTTCTGCTAAATCAAAGCGTTTCAAATTGAAATTTTATTACACTTCCAATAGGGATTAATTTACATTTAAAGAACGAGTTATTACATTCTCAAGATTCAAGAATGCGACTTGAACATTTTTCATTTCCAGTTTCAAGGTTACTTATTAAAATTAATTAGTGACAGTTACAGCTTCAATTATTACGGAAGTAATTTAAAGCTATGTCACGCTTGCACAGCGTTAGTGTGAGGTCTGAAAGCTTTCAGCTGAAAAAGAGAATTAATTTTACTCAAACTACAAGCGCTCCACGAAAATTGAATAAGTTGTGACTCTACTAATTCTAGTCGTATTTTCACACAAATTATGAATAGAAAACCCTCTTATTAACGCGCTTCTTGACATGTAGTTCCAACAAAAGAGAAAATTAAAACCCAAAAAAACACAAATTAATTAGCACCGAAGTACGCAAAACGATATTAGACTCATGAAAACAAAATCCAACAAAACAAAATGCAAAATACAACGGAATTAAGAAAAATATACAAGGTGACTCACAGAGAATTACGTGACAAAAAATTTTAACTTAAAACGAAAAAAAAAACAAAGACAAAAAATAGAATAAATTATTAATTTAAATGTTTAAAACAGACAAATACAAAAAAACAACAAATAGTTTTTAAAAAAAGAAAACAAAAAATACACTTTTATTTAACAGTAAAAAACACAAAACAAATTAATGACACAGCCAAATATATAAACGGAATTAGGTACAGGATGCTTCATGAAAAATGACCCAAGGAAACTTAAGTAACAAATAACGTAACACAAAAAAATAAAGGTTTTTTTACTGAGAAAGACTCAACAAAATTAACAATTGTCTGTACAGAACGACTCATAGTATCTTGTTTTTTTTTTCTAATTTTTCTAATCCCTTTAAAATTAATTATTTGAGAGACAATTTCCTCAACTGAGGCACAGTTTGGCTTCCAGATCGTAAATAAAATCCGAGACTAAATAAGCACCTATATTTTCCGTTGATGTTTAATTTACTTTCTTCCAAAAGTAGGTTACAGTAGCTGGATGAGATTTGAGTTAATTTTAAGTTATGGAGAAAATTCCTAATTAAACTTTTATTAAACTCTTAGTTGCATTTTACGATATCAGGACGTTAGAAGCGATATCAGAAATGAAACCCTACGCCCTATCTTTCCAGATCCGACAATATTTTCACTCTTATATGCGTCTTTATATTAACTCATTTGTCAGTTTAATATCATCTTTGAAGTTGAAATTCGTTTCAGAAAAATTGTTGGATTTCAAAGCACTAGTAATGAAATTTAATTTAAGAGAGGAATTGAGAAAATGTAGACATTAGAATTTATCTGAAACGTTAGAATTATTTCAGAAAATTTTGTTTAAATAAGCACTACTAATGAAATTTAATTTAAGAGAGGAATTGAGAAAATGTAGACATTAGAATCTATCTGAAACGCTAGAATTATTTCAGAAAATTTTGTTTAAATAAGATATATGTTTTCATTTTTTATGCTTTACTGATGTCTATTTCAAAACTTCTAAATGAATATTTGGAATGTAAATACATTTTATGAAAAGTTTACGTTTACGAATGAAATGTTTTATATTTAACGAAACTCGGAGAGCTGAAGGGCATTTTTTCATTATATTTACTGGAAAAACTCAATCCATTAACAGAGCTAGGGTGACTTTTAGTCGAAAAGTTTCATTTAATTTTGAAACCAAACTCAAGCATTTTTTTCTACTATTATGTATATTGCAACAAACAATAAATAAATGATTATGTAGAAAATTGTGTGAATTGCAAACTTAAAAACATTGAAACATTCGAGTTAGTTCGTATTTAGCAAACAAAAGGCAGAACGTTTTGGTGGAGTCGTAGTGAAACGTATTAAATTTGCGTAGTTGAGCG